CTATCCTCCCCACCCACGTCAATCTCCAATTAATTGTGCCTTGCTTTGGTGACGTGTATAACTATAAATGTCATAATTTAACCCATTCGCAGCAGCATCGCTGTAAAAAAGCTCTTTGATAAGATCGTAAGGCAATTTTGGCAGTGAAGGTGTTCATGGGAGCTTTTTTGGACTAATAGATTGTTTAGTTTCATGATGCGCAGTTCATCCTTTCTCTCTACATAGAATCTGTGAATCGAACGTGTAATGACAGGAGCTTGTTGCGTGCTCTCCCTTTCTGTCTCAGTCTGTTAGTAGTGTGCTCTTTCCGGCCAGCCCCAAATTATAATCGCCGTTATAATAGCATTTATACGCTTCTCCTCTCTCTTCTTACCTTTTCTAGTGGTTGGACTTTGCTACTCGGACCTTTCTACAATAACTAAAACACCTTGTTTCTTGCTATTCTGCCTGCTCGAGTTGTGTTGGTTCCAAGCCAAGTTCCTATCTATGCCCTGTTCCTATCTTCTGTTTGTTCTCCCACTTCTCTTTATTCGATCAGAACGCTTCCTCAGCATAGCGTGGATGTTGTTGAAGGAGGCAGCCGGAACACTGTGAGTGCTTTGTAATTATTATGAGACTTTGACATCTTGGTCGTGAAGTCAGCAGATTATAATTCGTGAAGTCAGCAGATTATAATTCGTGAAGTCAGCAGATTATAATCTAGTGCTGATACTGAACACTTTTACACAACAAACCACGCAACCGTTAGCTTTGCCTGATGTCTTTATCAGGATCTGCTGAGCGTGTGTGGGCAAACACTTGAATGACCCTGCCAGGCGACCCCAACAACTGCCCGATAATGGGCAGTATCTTCAATGACAAACACCTGGGCGACTCTTGTACGCATGCAGCGGCGTTACTTACTCACCACGCCTCTTATTGTGAGACGCTGCTGTGGCGAAACAGACTCGCTGCCAGTTTTGTTTTGACGTCGGTGACACACGACTCGATCCTAAGGTGGCGTCGGTGGCCTATATAGTGGTTAGGCCAAAGATCGTAGAGAATCTTTGGTTAGGCTACTGGATCCGTAATCGTGAGATTCCGGGTTGGAGGTTCGAGCGTCAGCTCAGTCCGACGTTGTGTCCTTGGGGAAAAGCACTTAAATTAATACGAATTTCCCTTTTGGTTCGGTCCTTTCAGAGATGGACGTTAAACTTGGATGTCCCGCCTCTTAAATAATCTGATAGTGTTGATAGGGGCGGCCTATACCATTTCCCCATTTTCACGCTGGTCCTTTTATTGTGGCGTCAGTGACACAATGCTCCTTTTGTTCTGACATCAGTAATACACTGGTCGTTTTGTTCTGACATCAGTAATACACTGGTCGTTTTGTTCTGACATCAGTAATACACTGGTCGTTTTGTTCTGACGTCAGTGGCACACTGATTCTTTTGTTATTACGTCAGTGACAAGCTGTCCTCTTTTTATTCTAATGTCAGTGACATACTACTCCTTTTGATGGCAATGACAAGCCACTTTTTGTTCTGACATCAGTGCAGTGACGCACTACTCCTTTTGTTCTTACATCAGTCATACACTGCGCCTCCTGTTCTGGCGTCACTGACACAGTGTACATTTTGTTCTGGCGTCACTGACACAGTGTACATTTTGTTCTGACGTCACTGACGTCATTGGCACAATGCCACTAAGCCTTGTGTGCTGACATTTCAGTCAGCTCATCTGGATGCTGGGCGACTTTGCCATAGTGGACTGCCAGGGGCCTTTTGCTTGTTTGTTTTTTCTTGGAGGGGGGGGGGGGAAGGAAACAAATACGTTTGTAACGTTATCAATCAAATTGATAAAGTTGATGTATATCTCCAGGTTGTAGGATGGTTTAATCATTATTGTTGGGTAGTTTTGTTTAGTTTTTGTAACCATAAACTTACAAAAGATTTTTTTTGTTTGTTTTGCTTTTTTTCTTCTAAAAATTAACATTAATGTCCAGACTGTGAATGATAATATATTTATAGGTCCTATTGATTTTTGCTGGGAATGATATATATATAAAGATTTAGATCTATTGATTTTTGCTGGGATGTTTTGTTGTTTTATTGACCATAACCATGCATGTAACATAGTTTATGTTCTGTGTATGCAAATATAGTGAGGGGGAGGTGTGTGTGGCTAGCTCATGATGCAGAGGTTAATGGCCTTTGTCCTCGTCTTCAGAGCAGAAAGCCGGCCCGGGCAAAGGTGTGGTCAGTGCCGTGGGACAGAATGCCACTCGGAGAGCCTCGGCTGATTCGGTTAAAGCCAGCAAGGTACACTCGCAACACGTCCCTTTAAACCTTTGTTGTTTATCTCTCTCTCTCTCTCTCTCTCTCTCTCTCTCTCTCTCT